TGAACATGGACAAAACAAAGATCATGTTCAATGTCCATGTCACACCTATGCCGGTAGTTGTTGGGAGCACTATGCTCGAAGTTGTTGACGAATACGTTTACCTGGGACAAATAGTCCGACTAGGTAAGTCCAACTTCGACCGAGAGGTCAATCGACGGATTCAACTTTTCGAGCTATGGAGAGGGCTATGCTCGGAGTTTCTCTGCGTGATAGACTCAGAAATGAGGATATCCGCAGTAAAACCAGAGTGACCGACATAGCCCAACGGATTAGTAAGCTGAAGTGGCAATGGGCCGGCCATATAGCTCGAAGAACCGATAACCGATGGGGAAGAAAGGTTCTCGAGTGGCAGCCTCGTACCGGTAGGCGTAGTGTAGGGCGACCCCCCACTAGATGGAGTGACGACCTGGTAAGACATGCAGGAAGTCGATGGATGCAGGTGGCTCAGGACCGTGCTTTGTGGCATTACTTGGGGGAGGCCTATGTTCAGCAGTGGACTTGTGAAGGGCTGTAATGATGATGATGATGAAATATGAATGTATAAATATTTATACAAAATGGAATTCAATGTCTCGTATTCCATCTCGTGACACCGCATGACAGGTATGTAATATATAAACTCTAGTTCTGTCTCATACATATTGCGATTTTATTAATCGCAATATGAAATCTATGTACTAGACAGAACGCTGTAAGCAATGATATTGTTTTCTACTTGTTTTTATTATTATTGACTGTAAGTGATTAGATTTTTAACACATAAATCAATTTAAAATCAATATGCATATTAATTTGATTGAAGAATTATGTACAGACGCTCATTCTGTTTCATACATAGATTTCATATTTTGCGTTTTATAAATCTACCCTACAGGTTATTTAATTTTTTTAATCTTTATTTATTATAGAGGGTTAGATCTACTAGATCAAGTCACCCTTATAGATACACAATCAGACACATAATCAGACAATGATAAATTCACGTAAACAAAAGATTACCTGTTCTTAATACCTAATAATACAAGTTTATAAAGTTTCCTAGCTTTATCCGACAATGGAAAAGCTAGGATACTATTATATAGTCCAACACTATTTTTGTCAAAACCTAATTGCTTTCTATATGCTTCGTTCCGTTCACATTCCATCATAATGTGAGTAACATCTTCCACAATTCCACATTTGTCACAATTTGGTGAATTCATTTTTCTCATTACAAAGGCAATTTGTTTAATGGTACATGTCCGGAACGAAGCCTCATTGCTGTAGTAATTTCTTGCCTTCCCATATTACATCCTTCAAACCAAAGGAAGCGGGAAAGATGCGGTTGTATCGTCTTGTACCAAATACTTTTTGACAGTGACCTTTCATCAAAGTATTCGGACCACTTTTCTGTGCAGTTTTCACGAACTTTAGATAGGAGTTCAGAGAAATAAGGTACACAGTCGAAATTCTCCCCATCACTTATCGCCTCTTTAGCAAGAATGTCTACTGCCTCATTTCCCTCTAAGCCAATATGGGAACGCACCCATTGCAAGACAATGCTTTTGTTGTTAGATTTTAACATTACAATATTACTTAATATGTCGTAAGCCAATGGAAAACCACGAGACAATGAAGTACATTTCTTTAAATGTTGAAGGGCACTGCGAGAATCTGTTAATATCAAAAATTTATCATACTTAAGTGACTTGACATAAGGCTTCCGCAATTGCAATGAGTTCCGCATGCATAACTGAAATTTCCTTACCTAAGCAGAGCTTAACATATTCTTTGGTTTGAATATCTAAAAATGCAGCACCCGTTCCTTCTTTATCCTTAGAGCCATCAGTATATACTTTATAATAATTTGTAAAGTTTTCAGCTAAATATTTATGACATAAAATTCGTAGATAATGGGGATTGTATTTATGTTTAGGCGCATTTACAAATTCTATTTGAGGGATTATTGAATCGGACAAATCCAACTTGCTAATCCACGAATTGAGTGAAAACATTTCTAAGTGAGGACTTGAAAACATACGAGTTTCTTTAAATAATCTATAGATTGTAACTAAGTGGGGTTTTTCTACGTCGCCAATAAAAGGTTTCTTTAAGTTCATCAAGAATACGTAATAAATTTGTCACAATATTTTCATCAGCTACTTTAACCAAAATTTACCAGCTAAATACCTTCTCCGATAAATAATGGCTGTAAAAGCAGTTCCGATTTCATTACATGGATAGGAGTGCTCTAGACAAACCCACCAATTACCCGCATATACTGATTTTGTATTACGTCTAATTTTATTAGATGTGTTTTATAGCTATTATCAAATAAAAAGCAGGCATAATCCAATCTACTCCGTATAGTAGCTATATAAGCGACCAAGCTGAACTGGGTGTACTCCCCAACCTGGTCCTATTAAAACTTTCAAAATATTTACAAACTTAAGGGCTTTCTCTTTTATTTCATTTATGTGCTTGTTTCATCGAAGAGATCGATCTAACCACAACCCTAAATATTTAATTTTTTCAACGATTTTAAGGCTTCTCCTGTTAACCGTTATATTTATGCATTCCCTTACGCGTCCATTCTTAAATATGCATACTTTACTTCACGATGAAGATATTTCTAGGTCTAACGTAAAAAATAAACTAGTAAGAGTATTTAGAGCTAACTGTATATCAATAACTTCGATACTGATACTGTCGCAATTTTTATATATAACAAAATCATCCGCATATTGATATTAAACAAAAGTGAAAATAATGGATCTCTTTGGACTAGACCTTGCCCCGTAAATCTAACTGATAAACACGTTATCCACATACATTTTGAGATGTTGTTCATTAAGGAAACTACTAAGATATTGACAAATTTTTTTTCTTACAATTAGTTGATCTAAAGTGTACAGTAATTCATTTATGTCAACCTTATTAATACGCGTTGTCTAAATATAAGAAACATCTTATCGTGGACTGATTTTCTGAAAACCCTATTTGTATCCTTGATATCAAACTACTAAGACTAAGAAGAAAAGACTTTGTTTTTTTTTTCCAGAAACCACTCTAGTCTCCTATTAATAATTGAATGAAAGATTTTGCATAAGCAAGATATAAGTGATATTGGGCGCAAGAACGATACATTATTAATGTCTCTTCTAGGCTTTGGGTATTGCTATAATACCAATATCTCGCCATTGCGATGAAAAGCATTATACAGCTTGATTAAAATGCATTTGCCCTTAAACGGAGGGTGTTTCAACATTGAATATGCTATGCCATCGCATCCAGGAGATGTATCCTTTAATTTAATACATGTTGTGTCAAGCTCCTGAATCGAGACCTCTTCCTTTAGTAACATGTTACTAGAACTGAAACTAGCCTGTTCCGGTGAAACAAAATCTGGCGGTAGACTGCGAAGAAGTATTTCTGCTTTTTCTTTGTCTATATGGTGGGTATTATGTGACCTAAAACCTTTCATCCATCTCATCTTATTCCACATATCCCTAGTGGTTGTTTTTTCATTTACCAAATCACAAAAACTCTGCCAATTACGTAATTTAGCCTGACTAATTAACCTCAGTGTGTTTCTAATTTTTTCTTGGAGTATAGATAAATTCTGAGGTGTTGAGTTACGTCTAAACCCAGCCAGTGCTTGTCTACGAATAGCTACCGATTTCGATAATTCTACATCCCAGTAAGACTTCAGTACAAATTTAGACTCTGGGTTTTGATTTATTTTTATAAAAGGGATATGAATATCAGCTGCTAAATTTAAATATTTCAAAAATATATTGTAACATTTTTGAAGGTCGGTTGTGTGTATTGAGAACTGATCAAAAATGTTTCAAGAGTACTCTTATAACCGTCCCAGTTTGCTTTTTTAAAATTTCTTTTAAGATCACACTCTAACCGTTTTTGACATAAACCTGATATTTTAATCATAAGATGATCACTACCTAAAGTCTCTCGAAGTACCCTCCAATTAAATTTATGGACGATATCCGCCGTCATAAGCGATAGATCGTGAGATGACGCTTGTAAGACTCTATTCACGAATCTAATTCGAGTGCTTTCTCGATTATTTAATATAGCAAAATTAGTATCTAAAAGCGCGTCAAATATTTGTGAACCCCTGTTGTCAGTCTTGTACGACCAGCTTGAGTGGTGAGCGTTGAAGTCCCCAATGATTACGGTTTTACAACTAAATGTAGAAAATAATTCATCCCAATTTCTTTGGCAAGTGTGCACTGACGACGGACAATAGATAGAAACGATATTTTCTAAATCCTGACAGTTAAAAATTTTTATATAAATAACTTCTATACCATCATTATTTAGTTGTAAATGCCCCCCTAACAGTTTTAAGAGATTTGTGCGCTAAAACAGCAACACCCTCATAAGAGTCATCTCTATCATTACGCTAAATATTATAATATTTGATTTCAATATAAGTTTCAGAGTTTAACCAAGTTTCGCTTAAGGCTACGATATGTATTTTTTCCGGAGTTAATAAAGGCTCTAAGGACATTAGTTTGGGCTTAACACTTTGAGCAATCCACTGTAAGATATTAAGATTTACTATTTTATAGTTAAGGTGTTTATCCATTAATTACGTTTAAAACGGTTTTCAATATTGGCCATTCCGAGATATTGTCCACAGTTACCAAAATTAACCACTCAACTTTGTAAACTTTCTCTTGCAAATTAAAATTATTAAAAAATATTACTTCTTTTAACCTCATAAGTAGCTCAATGAAAGATATTTTATTAGAAGCTTCGTTGTTATTTGCCTCACTAGAGCTAGCACTAGGTTCAAATCTATTACTTTGTAATGACGTGTCACGCTCTGTACTTCTTTTCTCCTTTATTATTTGGCGCCGGCGGGGCGGCGATACCTTACTTTCACATTGGCTAATATTGTCTTCGTTATGCAATACGCTATTGGCCGTCACTTCTGCCAAAGTAGGAACATTTTGGAATTTAGCAGTTTCCCTCTTCGGTGTGTTATAATTACACTACTGCTGGATGCTATCTTGTTCTATAAATTTTAGCTCCATTTGTCTATGTGGTGTTGGCGCAACATAGATTGTTAAAGCCCTTCTGTATGTGCAATTAAACTCGGCCATAAGTTCTCGCAACCTTCTTTCTTTAAGGTAAGCAGGACAAGTCCTAGCTAAAGCCATGTGACATCCAGAACAATTGACACATTTGAATGTTTTAGTGTCGCAATTATCGTATTCTCCCCCACATTTAGGGCATATTGTTTTCTTAAATGGACAAACTTGCGAATGTGACCCAACCTCCAACATTGTGAGCATTGTGAAACGGGATAAACATATGGCTGAACAGTTATTTTTATATCGAAAATATATACGTATAAAGGTAAAAAAAACAAAGCCGTATGGTTTCACCTGGACAACACCCTTCTTGTTTCGTGTAACTTCGTCGCTTAAGCCTTTTAACGGATATTAATTCTGTAGAATCTGGGCATGATATATTTTTCATAATTCCTTCTTCAGACATTTCGAACTCCACGTCTCTTTTAATTCCGTAAGAGTAGTCAACCTCCATTGCCTTTTGAATTCTCCATCCCATAGAAATTAATGTCGCACAGGTACTTAACTTTTGAACATTTTCCTTATTCGAAAATTGCAACCTTATTTTAAATGGGTTTAAGTATTTCACTCTAATTATATCAGTAATTCCATTTTCTTTGAATAACCGTGCCAAAGCAAATTGCTTGGGCAGCTTTTCACTGCATGCAATGTATACCTCGATATCTGTTTCTGTACTTAAGCTCTCATCCTCGTGCAGTCGTTTTTTCTTCCCCTTTCCCTTCACAATCCTCCACTCGTCATCACTCTCCTCCGTCTCTCTGATTCTTTTAATAATCTAGGCGTGTTTTTACCAATACTATCCCGCTCTTCTACGTCTAGTTCTGCAATATCGTCTTCGATATACATAATATTATTGTTGAATTTTTCATTCTCGTCCATCATTTTGCGTATACCCGCAAGTAACACTGAGTAAGCTTGCGCGTAAGAAGGCCGCGTTGCCCTACCCACACGCATGAGTAAGCAATAACAAGCAACGTACGTAAACACTAACGATGCGCGTGAACGCGTGCTGCTCGCTTGACGCCAGACGCGAGACTGAGGTTATTTAAATGCATATGCAAATACTCATTCTATATATAAATACAGTATACATATAAAGATTATTGAAATATGTACTTATAGACGCTTGTTCTGTCTCATATATACAGGGTCATTTTTAATTTACTAAAGACCTTTTGGGAATATAATGGTGGCATAATTACAAACGATTTTAGTGAGATCACTCTTTACAGAATGTAATGAATACATTTACATAAAAGCTACTTTAAAGTTTTTATTGTCATGTCTGACTAGTTTTAAGTCTGTATTTTAAAAATCACAAATATTAAAATGAGCAATAGGCAATTATAAAGTATGACCTCTTCGACACGCCGCCGCGCCGGTCGACGCTCGCACTCAGCTGATTGTGTCGCGAGTGTCTACTGCCCACAGAGTACTTTTTTATACAGCCTACTAAACTATTCACCACTGTGCCTATGGTACCAGGGCGCCACTCCAAATGACAAATTTACATTAACTTTTCATATACTCCTTTTTTGCATAAAGCAATTTGATTAACTATTTGATTATTTTATTAATTTGTTTACGAATTTATAGACATTTTTAAGCTATTACATAGCTTCTATCGCGGGCCTTGAGCGGAAAAATTTCCTATAACTTCATGATTAAGATATTAAAAATATTTTAAACAATATTAACTTCTCATTTCACCACGCTCAAAAAGTGTAACTTGATTTAATATCAAAGACTTAACTGCATAAATAAAATAAATAAATAATTATAATTGCATAAGTTGATAAAAAATGCTATGCAATAGCTTTACCGCGGCAGTCACCGAGTGCCACACGTATTTTTTTTAATAAGCATTTAGGTAGTTTGTTACGATCACTGCTTGCCAGTAATGCTGCCTTCGCATGGCAACACCGCCTCCGGAGGTTAGCAACGTCTCAAGCAACGTCGCACGTACGGCAGACCAAGGCCAAGCGAAAGGTATATTGACGTCGATACAGGCGTCATCAAAGGCGCTGCCTGCCCTTTTTGGTTCGCAGCACGTGCAAATTAAATGTCGAGTATTATTTTTTATTTATTAAATGCAAGTTGTATTTAAAAAATGGATGCGGGTTAAAATAATTACAAATATTACAATAAAATATTTATAATGATTAAATACAGATATTAACACACATTTTACAACAGTAATTGAATAAAAATATTTAGGTAAAAAAGGGTTCAATAAAAATATTAAAATACAAATTTATACATTAGAATTAGAGGTACTCGTCCGCGGATGGCGGTGAGTATCGCGCACATAGCGTTTAAAATAATCACCTCCACATTCTACGCATAGGTGACACCTAAAAGTTAACTGTTCACCGACACGAGATAAAAGTTGAGTATTCATTTTGATTTGATCGAATGCCGAAATTATTTTTTCTTTCAACATGTCGCGGGTTTCGGTACATTAATGTCTTTACATGCCCCCACAAATGAAAATCCATTGGTGTGATATCTGGCGATCTGGGAGGCCATGCACAAGGCCCGCCACGTTCGATCCAGCGTCCAGGGTATTCTCTGTTTAAATAATCCTTAACTTGACGAGCATCATGCGCCCGTGCCCCCTTAAGTTGATAATAAATATTGCGTAGAGATGCAACTGGTATACCCTCTAACAATTGTGGCAGCGTGTCGGTTGTGATAGCTTTCACCATTTAATCTTTCTATGAAAACAGGGCCCAGTAACGTTGTATTAATAAGGCCTGCCCACACATTGACACTAAACCGGTGTTGAAAGCTATGTGGTCTTGGTCTTGGTTCATATCTATTTAATACGCACAATGAGCACCACAAGTGTTCATTGTGCGTATTAAATAGCCCTATTCTACCAAATGTTGCTTCATCAGTCCATAAAATGTTAGGTCGTTCAGCAGCTAGTAACCAATTACAAAATGTAACGCGCAGGTTTGTCAGCTTCGCTGAGTTCATGAACACGGTGCAGGTGAGAGGGGTACTTCCCTTCATTGTGTATGACACTCCATGCGTAATGTTGTGACACATTGAACTGTCGGGCTGCTTGGTAAGTGCTCGCTGCTGGATTTTCTTCAAAACTGCAGTATGTCTTCCTGCGCACGTACCTACTGTGCGCCGCGGTGGACGACCACGATCCATAGATACAGGCTGGAATTGCCCGTAATCTCGCAATCGCTGTGTAGCGCCTAGCATCGTAGCGTAGCTCGGTGCACGTGAGTTAGGAAATCGCCTTGAATATTCACGGCAGGCTTCACTAACATTATCATTGCAAATTGCTAAAATTAGCACCATTTCGGTATACTCAACATTTGAGTATCGGTAAGCCATCATAACAAGGTAACGTTCACAATAATCTCACAAGGAAAAGACAAGCGTCGCGGGCGCATCAAAGGCGACTGACGATACAGGTTACTAATTAGGTCAAGTTTAAATGAGTATCGTCGCCTCCTACACCCCTCCACCCCCCCCTCGCCACGCGCTTTTTATTGATAACTAGGACTATTACCGTTTAGAAGCTCCAATTAAAATATTTTTATTTTTGTATGAAAATAAAAATTGAAGAAATATATTTTTTTTCTTACAGATGTTGTTGTTATGATGTAAATAATCCATAAATATCCATAAACACTCACGCCTGTCACCCAGAGGGGTAGGCAGAGACTACAGATTTCCATTTGGCACGATCCTGACACACCTCTCTCGCCTCCTTCACATCCATACACCTACGCATACATGCTCGTCGGATTAAGGGTACTCCTAATTTGGCCCGTTTTCAATAAATCGCCAATTTGGTCGATAAATTTTCGCCTAGGACGTCCCTTTCCGACTCTGCCATTCACTTCTGCAACATAAATTTTCTTTGTCACTCTTTACTCATTCATTCTTTCCACATGACCAAACCACCGAAGCATTCCTTTCTTAATCCTGGTCACAACATCATCTTGCAAACCACACTCTTCTGGTGTAAATAATATATTCCCCAAAGGTCTTCAGTAAATTGAAAATGACCCTGTAAATTTCATAATTCGCGTTATAATTAATCTATTCTACAAGTTATTTAAATGCAAAAATTACATACATTGCAATTGGCCAAAAAGTTTATGAGTGTTTCAATAAGTTTTCACCTTTTACTAATAAAAAAACTAAGAACTTTCACTTAAAAAACCAATATTAAACTTTTTAATTTGAAGAAGCGACTCGCTGATACGGCACCAAAAATTTAATAAGACATGAGGTGTATAGTGTTGCCAGTGGTAATTTGATTCTGTTGCTGATGTGGTAGTTCAGGGAATGGAACTTTTATTATTCCGGCCTCTGTAGTGCCCATCGGAGGCAGATCCAGCCATGGTTTGGTCGCTTCTGTAAAACAACATCACGTTATAAGCAGGAGTTCCTCCAATTGTGCTACAGATGTGTGCTCCCTAATTGGAACTGGTTCTAACAAGTCTCTTCCATTACTCCTGCTACTCAAGCGCAGTCTCAAACACTTGGAGAACAGCTTTGGTCCACCCGATTGTTAAAAAATGGCGACCGCCCAGACCCGTCAAACTACTAGGTTTATCGCAATCATCTCTTTGTTCTCCAAAATAATGGAATCCATTATAAACTGCCAGCTCATGAGGTACCTTAAGGACTACGACCTTATAAGTGACTGCCAATACAGCCTTCGTCGGGGTCGATCAGCTGGTAATATTTTGGTTTTCATGGCTCCTAAATGGGGTGAGGCAGTAGAGTCAAGGCGAAGGCCTTGGCCGTTAGCCTTCGCTCGCGTTTGGCACAAAGCGCTTTTTTCGGAGCTTCCTTCCTATGAGCTTCCCGAGAAATTGTATAATTGAATCACCATTTTTTTTTGCAAATTGGAGCATCAAGATCGCACGCACGCTCCGTTTACAAGTCTATCATCATCATCATCATTACAGCCCTTCACAAGTCCACTGCTGAACATAGGCCTCCCCCAAGTAATGCCATAAAGCACGGTCGTCACTACATCTAGTGGGGGGTCGCCCTACACTACGCCTACCGGTACGAGGCTGCCACTCGAGAAACTTTCTTCCCCATCGGTTATCGGTTCTTCGAGCTATATGGCCGGCCCATTGCCACTTCAGCTTACTAATCCGTTGGGCTATGTCAGTCACTCTGGTTTTACTGCGGATATCCTCATTTCTGAGTCTATC